TAGTATGTTAAAGGCTCAAGTGAGACCTGGTGAATCCACCAACTGCTATACGAGGTGTGTCAGAAAAGTTCCAGGACTGGTGTCACAAAAGATGTGTTTCAAACCCAAACTATGAGTTTTCTCCTTCAGACGATCAACCAGCACGTCTACAAAGAGATCCTGCAGCGTTTGCTTTGTTCAGAAGAGGCGAGAGTCTGCTCACGATGCCTTGAGCATCTGACAGTTCCTGGCTGAGAAGAACATCTCTGTGCTGGAGCAACCTCCCTACTCACCCCACCTGGCTCTGTGGGATGTTTTCCTCTTCCCCAAGCTCAAGGGGGTCATCAAGGGGACCTGTTTAGAAGACGACATCAAGATAGCTGTGACGACAGCGCTGCGGAGGACCCTTCCAGGAGTGCATGGCGGCGTGAAGGCAGAGAAGGCTGAGGAAGTGTGTTAGACTCCAGGAGGATTACTTCTAAGGGGAAAACTTTGGATTTGAACTATATCTTTTGTGACACCAGTCCTGAAACTTTCCTGACTCGCCTCATATGTGGACTCTTGCAGGTCGTCCACATAAGCAGTTCTGCACAGCCTCCACATTTCCAGAGATCAGAGACCTGCTCACTGACGAGCCTCTTAAACGTTCTCCTGCAAAGCAATCTGGAGAAAAAAAACACACTCTTTAATTTTTCTCCCCAAGAGATGAACAAATTAGAACACTTCATAAAGTTGTGGCTCACAAGAGGCAAATTAAGAAAGAATATTCAGAATCAATTTGTCAGAGACCAAGAAGACTGTTTCAGTCCCTGGATCCCATAATTCTCATGCAGCCAGTAGCAACCACAAGAGTTGGCTAAATGGCAAATTTTGAATTCCCTTTTTTTTATTCTCCTACCCCTCCAAACCCAAAGTGGCAGAACCCAGCTGACCTCTCCATCGGGGGGATGTGCTGTCAGACTTAAACTGACCTTTATATTTAAAACGAGTAGTATTCCCTCTAAAACACACCAAACCGTGGCTCCTCCGCTGTCATACATTCTCATATATAATGTTTCACAGTGAAAAGACTCGCTTAACAAATTCAATTTGCGCGTGCAGGAAAAATCTGAAATAAAGTGTGACATTCATTATAGAGATACCTACAGAGCTAGAAGGGCTATTTTTGGTCTATTATTCAGCAGAACTGCCTGGAAAAAAAAGTTATTTAACCTTCCATCGCCCTAATAACTAACTTAATTTGAATTTAATCAATGTAAAGACGTCCTGGATGGATGAATTTCGAGCATTAAGGTAGCTAATGTTGAACCCGGTGTGGCTGTAGGTGAAGGCCGTGATAGAGTTTATTGTCATTCAGTCCATATGCAGTCCTCCGAATACAAAGAACCAGTATAATTGCTTTCCATCCGGTGTATGGAATAAAGAAGCAAAAAAGTATTTAAAAAAACAACTGTCTTCAGTCTGCCTGCCATGTCTTGATATGCAATTTTTTTTTTAAGGAATTGTGACAAAGACGTGTACTGAGGAGGATGTTTGTCCTCTCGTCTGACAGAAGGATGTGTCTCTTTATCAGATTCCATCCATCATCTATACA